TAGATCTTTTTAATGAGGTAAACCACTGTTGCCTTTATGTTGGGATAGAACAGGGCAAGGTAGAAAACAATGAAAGACAAACACAGAGAGAGAGAGAGAGAGAGAGAAAGCGAGCTGAGTGAATTGGCCAGGTGACACACTGATAAGGGAGTAAAAGGACACTCTGAGTTACTGCCCGGATGACACACAGCAAACAGTGATTATGAAGAGTGAGCTCAATAATTTTCCATAAAATATGATTAAAATTCCATGCAGTCGCCATGGGAGTACAGCTTTTGAGGTATGGTCAACCTATGGTACATTAGTCAATGATAAGGGGAGGAAGAAATGGAAACCGAAACCTCTACTGCAATGAAAACCAACAGCAATGTCAGTAGGAGTCATTCAGCTTTCGTTGAAAACATGAAACCAAACACACTGCTTTCCCCTGGATCTGTCGTCTCCAGGTATTAAGAAAGAATTAAGCGTCCACAATTGCTGAAAGTTACCTGGGGCATGGTGGGTTTTGATCTTCTTCCCCTTCTTGGTACTTTTCCATTTCTGCAATAAATTCAGACACATGAAGCTGATTCTCCTACACACATAACAATCCACTGTCTAATCCTTACACAGGGACCTAAGGCTCCTCAGCATAAGAATAAGACACTGTGGGAGAGATATTTCAGAAGGCCTGAAGGCTGGTCATCATAGAGATTCCTTGGTTTATGTCCCAGAAACTAAGGGTAAAATGTCCCTTTTCTGGTAGATCGTTATCCCAATATCCTTTGTCCCAAGTTTGTGCAAATGGTTATGCCATATTTTTCCAATCAATTTAAAGGAAATGCCCTCAAGTGATTTCTAGGAGAAAAACTGCAATATTCAGCCCTGTCTCATCAAATCCTCAGATTGTTCATGGTTGTGAGGATTTTAGACACTGAAATTAGAGTGAGAAAGGAAATCTGGAAACCCTTGAGTCAAAATCATAGTTCTCTGAATTTGTCACATCTGCCCAGGTCCGATGTCTTGAGAGTAGAATCAGAGCGCCACAGGCATGGCCTGAGACTAGGGAGAGAGCCATGCTCACTGACCCATCCCATGTCTGGGCTTCCAGGTGGAACTAGAGTTTCATTGAACCAACATGTGCCTAGAGGTCCTCACTGCAGCGGTGACATCTCTCAGCTCAGTAACGGCCACTTGGAGCAGGAATATGATCTCTATACGGAAGACTCAGTGGATCCTCATCAGCTTCAGAGAAAGGTACTCACCATCCACGCCAAGAGAAAAGCCAACGTGTTGTTCCTCCAATGAGTAAAGGGAACTTCCCTGGGGATGGCATGAATCGGGAAGCTCAAGATAACTGTAAGGAGTCGAGTAATATCTATCCAGTGAGTCCTGCAAGACTTCAGGCTCTACTACCTCCAGCAGCTCTCTGCTGAGCCTGGAAAAGTAGAAAAAGTAAAGAATAAGTCAGGAGACATCAGATACAACAGAGCCCCAACTAGATTTCATGGGTAGCACAAGGAAGTGGTCAAGAAAGAAAAATGATAGATCCATGAATGAGGTAACAAATTATTGCCTTCATGTTGGGACAGAACAGGGCCAAATGGAAAAGGATGAAAGAGAAAGACAGACAGAGAACAGAGCCAGAGAGAGAGACAGAGAGCGCTTGGTGAGTTGTCCAGGTGACACACTGATGAGGGAGTAACAGGACACTCTGAGTTAGTGCCCTCAGGACACACAGCATACAGTCATCATGAAAAGGCTGTGATCAATAATTTTCCATCAAATGTGCTCAAGTTTCCATGTAGTCACCATGAGAATAGAGCTTGTGAAGTATGGTCCACCTACAGTAGGTTAGTAAATGATAAGGGGAGGAAGAAATGGGAACCTAAATATGTAATGCAATGAAAACCAACAGCAATGTTAGTAGGAATAATTCAGGCTTGGTTGAAAAGATGTAATCAATAATGTCGGCCCGCTCTGTTTTCCCCGAACCAGGAGTCTCCAGGTGTCAACACAGAATTAGCTGTTGTCAATTGCTCAGAGTTACCTGGGGCATGGTGGGCCTTGGTCTTCTTCCTCTTCTTCCTTTGTAATTCCTGCAATAAAATCAGACAGAGACAGGCAAAATAAGCCAATTCACCTACACCCAGAACAGTCCACTCTCTAATCCCCACACAGGGACCACAGGCTCCTCAGCATGAGAACAGGATAATGTGAGAGATACACTGCAGGAGGCCTCAAAGCCAGTCATGATAGAGATGCTTTGATTTACATCTCAGAACCAAGGGTCAAATGTCCCTATTCTGGTAGACAGTTATCCCAAAATCATTTATCCCGAATTTATGCAAATAGTTATGCCTTATTGTTCCCATCAATTCAAAGAAAATGCCCCAGATGATTTCTAGGAGGAAAACTGCTGTATTCAGCCCTGTCTCATCAAATTCCCAACTTGTTCATGGTCACAAGACACTGTAATTAGAATAAAGGAGGAAATCTACAAATGTTGAGTCCGAATCATAGTTCTGTGAATTTTTTACATCTGCCTCAGTCCAATGTGCTCAGAGTGGGTTCAGGTGGCCACAGGCATGACTGGAGACTAGGAATAGAGCCATGCTCACTGATCCATTTCATATCTGGGCTTCCAACTGAAACTACAGTTGCATTACAACCTATATGTGTCCATAGGTCCTGCCAGCAGCAATGACATCGTTCGGGTCAGGAAGGGTCACTTGGAACAGGAATATCACCCCTATCGGGAAGACCAGGTGGAGCCTTATCACCTTCATAGTAAGGAACTCACTGTCCATGTCAAGAGCCAAGCCAAAGTGCTCTTCTTCCAACGAGTAGAAGGCATTTCTGTAGGGCTGGCATAAGTCAGGCAGTTCAAGATACCCGCAAGGGGTTGAACAAAAATCGTATCCAGCTGAGTCCTGCAAGACTT